CAGAAGCCGCCTCCGCTGAGGATGGCTCCCCTGGCCCCATGGCCCCGAGACACCCCCCAACCGCCCTTTCTCGGGGGCCTGGAGGCTATGGAGGAGGACTCCTCAGCAATGGCGAGAGCTGGCTCTGGGAAATTGCCTTATCTGACTGCAGCTGTGAACACGCCCCATTGGGGCACAAACACTTAGACTGCCAAGGGGCCACCGCAAAGTGGAAATGGCTCATCCTGTCAGTTATTTAACGCTGTTTCGGGGTTCACAACGGTCTCCTGATTAGACTTTTTCAAAGGAAGCTGCAGATGGAGAACATGAGCCCCTGCAACTCCAAGACTCATTTTGTGAATAAGGTTCTTTAAATTAGCAAAAGAGAAAGAATATTAGACTGATATCTTGCAAAGGAGGTGGGGGAGGATAGCGATAAGTGCAAGAAGGCTGTGGTTACATTTTTTGATCTTTAATAGCCACCTTAGTGGTGTATTTGTAGCGAAACGGGTACAAAATGCATGATGTGATTGCAACTATTTTTTAAATATTACATACATTTTTTTTCCGTAATACATAGAAAAAAGTACCTGTTGCCCATGGGTGCTGGACTAAGGAAGGGCTGTTTCTCTTCCGCACTTCCTAAGTTTTCTAAAAGAGGCACGCATTGTTTATAAGTGGGTGAAAGTTGCAGCGCCAAAGTGTTCGAAACTCCAAAGGGGTAACTCAAGAAGTCTGTAAGGGAAGAGTGTGGCCTTTCAGTACACTCACCCACAGCCGCCCCAGGCCGCAGTGAAAGGAAGCGTGTGGCCAGAGGGAGGAAGGGCTGCAGTGAGAGGAAAGGATCAAGGCGAAGGGCTTTCTCCCCTGCAGGCGGCCACGCACAGGCACGGACCTGGGGAGGAGCCCAAGAGGAAGGTGCGAGGAGCGGGGCGCTGGGCACGCAGGCAGCCTGGGGGGCCCTCGGCTCTGCCTGGCACCACGCAGCTCCCATAGAGACCAGACAGGCAGGGATGCGTCCACACCGGGTAGAGCCAGATGGACGGACGGACCAGGCCTTCTTGGCAAGGCTGGCACGCATCCCTGAACACGGGAGAATCTTCTAGAGTTTACTTACTTATTTATTTATTTATTTTAAATATATTTTACTTTATTTTTAAATATATTTTATTGATTTTGTACAGAGAGGAAGGGAGAGAGAGAGAGTTAGAAACATGGATGAGAGAGAGTCATCGACCAGCTGCCTCTTGCACACCCCCTACTGGGGATATGTCCACAACCAAGGTACATGCCCTTGACCGGAATCGAACCCAGGACCCTTCAGTCCCCAAGCCGACGCTCTATCCATTGAGCCAAATCGGTTTCGGCCAGTCTTCTAGAGTTTAGTCACTTCATGCATACATCCAGCATTCAACACATAGTAGGTTCTCAACATGTTTTATTGAGAACCTACTATGTGTTGGCATCAAGATTGGAACGGGGTCTAAAACCTGGTCCCTGCCCGAAAAGATATTCTTAACACACACACCGTTGACTCCGAGCATCAGAGATCTAGAGAAAACCTCTACTGACTGACAAGGACCCCTTCTGCTGGCCCTTCCAACCAAGTTAAAGCTCAGACGCTCAAGTGCACAAAAATTACTCAAGTTTATGAAAGACAATGGAACCCAGATCAAATTCAGAGTAAGAGACACCCCCACCGCCACCACCGAGAGATCTCCTTTTACTCTCTCTCCCAACTCATACGCCCCAGGTATTCTCCAGCCACCCAGGAATCCATGTCACGTAGAATACTATTTTTCTGTCTCAGATACAGGTCCTCGGAACTCCTGCCAGAGGGCTCCAAATTTTTAGCAACACAATCTGTGCTACGCTGTGCCTCCTGCCTCTTGCAGGGCGATCTGGGAAGGCTAAAGCGGAAGCGCCCGGGGAAAAGATCGCTTATCATTGCCCTACATTCTTCAAGGAAGCAAAGATCAGCTGCCTTTCCAAGAAAATCAAAGCGGTAGGTCAAAGAGTTAGCATCCGCTGTCATCCACAGAGCAGTTGTTCTTTTTTTTTTCTTTTTTTCTTTTTTTTTTTTTTAATGGAGAAGCAAGAAAATGTTTCATATGGATTTCAAAGCATATGTGTATGTCCCATATAACAATAAATTATGGACACGGAGTTTTTGCAGAACCAAATTGTAATCCAAAATAAGGAAGACGTTTTAGCCGAGCTAGCCACAGCTCTTTTCTACATTCCATAGGATGTACTGCACGTGGCGTGTGCTATGGGCTGGGGAGGAAAACCTCAGGACAGCACACTCCTACAGAGGAGACCAACAAGCCAGTGCTGTTTCTTAGGAGGAAATGGAGCCGGGAAGGAAAGCAAAGGCTGAGAGCAGAAGGTCAAGGACAGAGGACCAGGAGAGCCTTCGAGAGCATCCTTCCACTGGTCCCAGAGGCCCAGGCGGACAAGGGCTGATGATGCCACTTTCCGGCCAGCTTCCGGTTCTCCACCAGAGCTGGAAATGTCAGCCGCGTGCCCGTTACAAGCTGGAAGTTTCTTCCCGGCATTTCTGGCTAGAAAGTTAACTTCCTAATTCTCACGCAGGAAAAGAAAAAAGCCACCGAAACCGGTTTGGCTCAGTGGATAGAGTGTCAGCCTGCGGACTGACGGGTCCCGGGTTCGATTCCGGTCAGGGGCATGTACCTTGGTTGCGGGCACATCCCCCAGTGGGGGTTGTGCAAGAGGCAACTGATCGATGACTCTCTCTCATCGATGTTTCTAACTCTCTATCTCTCTCCCTTCCTCTCTGTAGAAAGTCAATAAAATATATTTAAAAGAAAAAGCCCAGGAGGCATGGAAACCATGGGTGACAGTGATAGTAGTATTATTACTATGTCCCTGGACAGCTAACAGGTACAGAGAAGTTAAAGGGACTGGAGGCTGGCATTTCCCCCTGTCCCGGGCATCTCTGCAGAGAATTACCTGGCATGTCAGTCCAGGCAAAACTTTAAGTGGCCTAATACACCTCCAGGGTCTGGAGCAAAGCACTTGGTCCTTTGTTTAAATTGTTTGAGCCTCCGTGTACATACACACCGCCCAGCCCTCCTCCAGCCCTCGGGGTGGAGCCTGGCCTGGCCTGGCCTGGCCTCCAGGATGCCACTGTCTGTCTGGTCCTGCCCCTGCCAACCACCCCACCGCCGGACTGCGGGCGGTGCAAAAGCGAGGTCCATTTTTAAATTCCCTTAGAAGTTTCACAACCACTGGCTTGGGTGAGGCGACAAACCCTGCTGCTGTCCGTCCTTTGCCGGGAAACTAAAAATACCCCACGGCAAACAAAAGCCATCTTTTTTCCCCCCCGAGGCTGGCTCACTCAGATGTCCTGAGGTTACAGGGGATGGTGTCAGACCGTGTCCCTGACAGCCCTAACCACTGCTCCTCCCGCCCCAGCAAGGGGCCATGCTGTCCCCCGCTCTGCCAAGGAACCTTGCAGTTGGCAGCCTGCCTATAGGGTGGAAAGAGCAGCTTTATCCCCCTGCCATCCACCCAGACGCAGGCGAGGTGAATCCGGGGCTGCTGAAGGTGTTAGATACATGCAGAGTGGAGAAGACGCAGGGAAAAGGAAAAAAAGAAAAACAGAAAAGAAAAGCAATCCTGTTTCCCTGGAAGGAAACGTGTTTCCAGCTCCCTCCTCCTTAAAATTAAAAAAACAAATTTTCTGCTGCGACTATGCCGAGGAAGACAACTCACAGGAGTAAAACATGGGTTTCAGAGTCAGTGCTGGGAGTGGGGCACCCTTGGTGGGGCGGGGAGACCAGGTACCCCAGAAGCCTGCTCTGGAGAAGCTTCTTTCTACCTGTTGGGCTACAGGGGTGAGCTGAGGACCCCGGGCCGCCGCTCTCCAGGGTGTCTGACCCTCTCCCAGGTCCCAAACTTTCCCTCGCGCCCCTCGCGCCCTTCGGAAGGGAAGGGGGGCCTTGGCTCTCTCCCTCCAGATTGCAAAGGCGAAAGCCCCTAAGCCCCCGGGGTCTGCAGGGAGGAGGGAACTCATCCCCACGCGGCCCTGGGCCTCCAGGTGCTCGGAGCCCAGGAAGGGGGGACGCAACCTGATGGTCAGCCCAGGTCCCAGCATTAAGTTTCCTCCAAAACTGCGGTGGCCAAGCTGTGACCCAGGAGCGCCGGGCTCCCCCGGTGGGCGCAGGGTGGGGATTGGGGAGCGCAAGGCTGGGGCAGGGAGGAGGGAGGAGGCAGGGGGCAGGGGGCAGGGGGCAGGCGGCAGAGGGGGGGGGGCAGCAGACAGGGGGCATGGCAGCGGGAGCAGGCCCAACGAAACCAGCCGCAAGGTCACTGCGGATCCGGACCCCGGGGGCCAACAGCCAGCGCCAGGCCCCTTCCCCTGCCCGCCGGGCACCCCTCCCTTCCCCACACCTGCTCGGCGGCGCCCAGCCCGGGACACGTGGACCCAGCCCCGGGCTCCGGGGCTCCGGGGCTCGCGGCAGGGACTCCCCACCTCGCCGGAGCCCGCACCCCCGCCCCCGACACCCCCGCCCGCGGGAAGGGGCAGGAGCCCGGGCGGGCGCAGCGCGGTGACTCCCGGCGCCTCTTCCATCCTCCGAATGGGGAGGAAGTTTCGTTTTCTTCCAACCGACACCCCCGCCCCCCCATAGCTCCCCGCAGCCTCTACCTTTCCCAGCTACCTCGAGGACGGACAGACAGGAGACACAAAGAAAAGAAAAAAATACAAAAAACTACCACCCCTCCTGGTCCCATCCTCCAGCCCGGAGCCGGGAGGACGCCGAGGAGGGAACACCTCTTCCCTCCGCCTTCATCCCATCCCGACGCGGTGACCCCGGCAGCAAGGGGATCTCCCCCCGCCCCCCGCCCCGAACCGGGCAGCAAGGGGGTCCCCCCTCCCCCCAGGTGGCCGAGGGAGAGAGGAGGTAAAGGCTGGAAGAGGAGGCAGAAGCCAGGCGGAGCGCGCGCGCGAGAGAAGAAAAAATATCCAACAAAAACCACGCTAACGCGCCCCCTACCTGGGTGCAACATACTTTGGAAATAGAAGATGACCAGGATAAAGGATCCCAAGCAAGTGGCCAGCACCATCCGGCAGATTCTGTTCATCCTCATCACTTCCAGCAGCGCCGGCTTCATGGCTTTGTCCTGCCTGCCTGCGGGGGCCGGGGTCCGTCCGGGGGGCGCGCCCGGGGCGCGGGAGCGGGACCCACGCCGCGCGGAGCGGAGCCCGGGAGGCGCAGCGCGGGGCTGGGCTGGGGACAAGGCTGGAGAGGAGAGGCTCGGGGCTGGCTCTGCGGCGGCTCTCGGAGCCCCTAGCCCCGGCGCCGGGGTGTGGGAGACGCCGGAGTTGCTCTGGGAAGTGCCAGCAAGATGCGTGGACCGGCCGGCTGCGCGCTCGGATCCTCCGACTCCTCCGGCTCAGATCCTCCGGCTCCTCCGGCTCCTCCTCGTCTCCCCGCCGCCGCTACAGCTGCCTCCTCGCGGGCCGGGCGGCTCGGGTGCGAGCGGTGATGGTGGTGCTGGTGCTGCCGCTGCCTCTGGCGCTGCCTCTGCTGCCGCCGCGCTGGCCGCTGTGGCTGTCGGACCGGCCACCCTCCCTCCTCTCCAAAGCCTACTTCATTGCGCTCCAATGATCTATATATTCCGGGGCTGGGCTTTACCAAAGGCCACTCGCAGCCCCCGGCGAGGGGAGGCGGGCGCCCGCGGAGCGCCGGGCGGAGGGAGGGCCCAGGGCGGAGGGAGGGCCCGCGCGCAGGGGCGGAGCGCCGGTCCCCCCGCCCCGGCCCGGACTTGGTCGCGTCCAGCTGTTTGCCGGGGAGCGCGGAGCGCGCCGCTCCCGCAGGGTCCCAAAGGCCCCCCGTCCCCGGCCGGCCGGCCCGCTGCGCCGCGGTCTGTCTGGAGGTGGTGTCAGCGTTTCCATGACAAAACCCGGAGGAAAAAAATACGCATAAAAACCGCCTCAGTGCTGCCACCCACCCACTCGTGCCCGGCGTTTGGACGGAGAGGTGGCGGGAGCCCGTGGGGCGCCGGGAGCGCGCAGGAAGCTAACGGGACGCGATGGTGTAAAATCCCTGGACAGAGGAGGTAGCTGGGAACTTGTCCCTGCCGCCCCCCCTCAACCCCCCCCCCCCAGGAGCGAGTACCCTTTCCCCGATTCCTAGAACCGGGTGGTTCCCCTTTTTTTTGTTTTTGTTTTTATTTTTTCCTTTTAAATGACGGCCCAGCTTGAGCGAAGTTTTGGGAAGGGGTGCAAGAGGCTGACTTCAGGTCAAGGTTAGGGAAGCTGCAAGCACCCGCGGGGGACAAGCCACGGCTGAGCTTCCTCCCCCCCACCCCCACCCCGGGATGTAGGCAGAGCCTCTGGCACCCACCCCCTCCATGGGGCAACGGGGGTGTTTTTTTGTTTTGTGGTGTTTTGTTTTGTTTGGGGGGGGGGGGGCTGCCTGTGGATTTTAAAGCTCTGGCTTCCTGAGGGGAGAGCTTCCTGACTCTAGCTGGGCCTCGTGGGTGTGTGTGAGTGTGAGGATGCCGGGCGAAGCCACTCTCCTCCAAATCCAAGCACAGCTGGGAAAACCAAGCCTGCCCCAGGGTAAATGGAAAGATGGGGTCGCTTTCTTATATGGCGTGAAGTGATTTAAAATGTCCCATTGCATGGTTCTTTCGCGAGCAATAAAGTGGGTGCGCAGGGCAAATACTGTGCTCACCGGCTCCCTGACCCAGTCCGCCCATCTACCACCCGGAACCCAAGACCTTGGTCTTCTGTAAGCAGACTCAGGCACGGCCCTCTCCTTCTATGTTCCTTTTAAATGTATGCAGGTGTTTTTGTTTTGTTTTTTTAAGTTCAAGCATTATTTAAGTTCTAACAATAATATATACCAGGAAAAATATTATTGTAAAGACTCTCCCACTTTTGTGCCATGTTATCAAGTCGCTTACAACTATTAACTTTTTTTAAATATATTTTTATTGATTTTTTTACAGAGAGGAAGGGGGAGGGAGAGAGAGTTAGAAACATTGATGAGAGAGAAGCATCGACCAGCTGCCTCCTGCACACCCCCCACTGGGGATGTGCCGGCAACCAAGGTACAGGCCCTTGACCGGAATCGAACCTGGGACCCTTCAGTCCCCAGGCCGGCACTCTATCCAGTGAGCCAAACCAGCTAGGGCTTACTACTATAACTTAATGATGAAACAAGATAATGTGTCTTTCCATGCTTCTCCCATAATAGGCATTTGACGAATACTGGCTGAGTCTGAATGTAATGGGCCTCATACCCTCAATACATCGGAGACACAACTCGCAGATCCAGGCGGCTGTAACCTCAGTTCCCTTCCTCCAGCAGGCACAAAGTGGGGGCACGCAGCGGAGTCAGCAGCCTTGCCTTTGATTACAGAAGACAATCAATTACAGCACTTTATTTATGTAGCTGGTTTGTGCGGTGTCCACGGGTGCTCACACGTGAATGCGTTGCTTGCTAAAGGCAGCCTAGCTCCGTGGTCAGCAAACTGTGGCTCGCGAGCCACAGGCGGCTCTTTGGCCCCTTGAGTGTGGCTCTTCCACAAAATACCACGGCCTGGGCGAGTCTAGGTTGAAGAAGTGGCGTTAGAAGAAGTTTAAGTTCAAAAAAATGTGGCTCTCCAAAGAAATTTCAGTCATAGTCCTGTTGGTATTTGGCTCTGTTGGCTGATGAGTTTGCCCATCACTGACCTAGCTGAACAAGCTCCAGCACAAAGTCATTCTCCAGTGATTACCCTTAACTCCTGCTTTTACTTAGTGCGGTGCGGGGAGCAGCTGTGTGAAGGGATTTGCTCACTCTATAGGACCCTCACCTTTTAGGGCAGACCACATCTTACCTATACAAAGGCCTGGGCATGCCTAAAGCAGTGTGGGAAGTCACCGGGCCCAGGGAAAGGTCAGATGTCAAATCCTGGCGGGTCATGGAGGAGTCGAGGTGGCCCACGTGGTGAGGAAGGATGGTGAGCCAGGCCCAGCATTCCACAATCAGGATCTGGCCTAAACATACAGGGAGGGGTAAGGGTCTGACAGAGAAGCTACCACCTCTTCCAAGAAGCCTGCCCTGATTCCTCACCTGAAGTGGCCTCTTTCCTCCTCTGTTGCTCTGAGCACTAGATCTGGACCCCTCTTGAGTCCATGTACCTACCAGGCTGAGTTTTGTTCCTTTCTGTCCCTCTGTGACACTCAGCATAGCAGCTGGCACCTAGTAGTTACAAACAGGTCAGAGATGGAGAGGTGATGCCTTCTTGGGCTAGGAAGTTCAACTAGTTGTTCTGTGTACAGTAGAGCTGAGGGAAAGCAGAGTCACTGCTTCCTTTCCATTGGTATCCTCACAAAACCTGGTGACAACTTTTGTGCATGCTGCGTGATGACTATTGGTCCCATAAAGGACAGTGTTGACTGATAAAACTGTGGGAAAGGGAGATTCGATCCTTTGAACTTGGAGGAGAGGGAAACAGAAGTTTGCCTCTCCAGTCAAGCTTTTTGTCTTCCCAGTGTAACAGTCAGATGGCTGGTTTTGCTGCAGTAACAAACATGCCTCACTTCAGTGGCTTATAGTAACCAGGGCTCATCTGTCACTCCACCACATGTCTGCGGGATCTGCAGAGGGGCTGAACAGGTGGCACAGTTCAGAGATCCAGCCCAAGGAAGCATGTGCCACTCTGTCCATCATTGATCAGCCAGAACTACCCACATACTGCTCCACTCCATGTCCAGGCCAGGCAGTCAGAGAGCCTCAAGTTTGTGGGGTTCCGTTTTCCTGGCTGCAATTGCATAGTCCCTTTTTAGATCTTATTTTCCCTCATTTTTATTTTTATTTTTATATATATATATATATATATTTTTATTGATTTCAGAGAAGAAGGGAGAGGTATAGAGAGACAGAAACATCAATGATGAGAGAGAATCACTGATCGGCTGCCTTCCATATGCCCCTCACTAGAGATCGAGCCTGCAACCCAGGCATGTGCCCTTGGCCGGAATCGAACCTGGGACCCTTCAGTCCGCAGGCCAACGCTCTGTCCACTGAGCCAAACCGGCCAGGGCTTCCCTCATTTTTCTAAACTTCGTTTTGCCCCAAGAGCTTCTGCAAATAGTCACCGCTGCTCATTGTGGGACTTGGCTTCACCTTTGGGTGGATCCTGAGGCATGACCCTTCCTCTCCAAATTCGGTAACATGCAAATGAAACCGGGGCCTGTCTGTGTCAACGCGGGGTATGGCCCCGAAACACACACGTTGATGGAAAGACCTACGTATATGGATCTCAGATCATTCATAAAGAGAGGAAGACGTGGGTGGATGCCAAACCCAAATTCCGGCCTGTGCATGCCACCCGCGGTGAACAGACATATTCACCGAGCCCTGCAGGCCGGGGGCTGCCTCGTTTTGCAGATGCCGCCTTCAATGCACTGTCTTGTGGAGAGCCTGCGGGGCCAGCAGCCCTGGCCCTGCCCATGCGCCGTGGGGGAGGGGAGCGGGCCCGGGGCCTGGTAGACAGAGCGCTCCTCAGCATCCATGGGGCAGGGGGTGGGGCATGTGTCCTGCCAGCACCGGCCAGGGGCCCCACTCGGGCTCCTCCGAGCACTGGCTCTGCCCATTTGCATCTCCTCCCTGTCACCTCCTGCACAAAGTGCGCTCAGTTGCCCAGAGCACAGTAAATATTTGTGGAGCGGAATTAAAAAACATTTGTCCACGGCGCTCGGCGATCCAGGGTACAAGCCCTCTGCAGGTAGGTAAACCGCAGGGACACAAGCGGGCACTCATGACAGCGGAGAGCGGGCTGCGCATCTGGGGCCTCTTAGAACAGGGAGGGGGAAGAGAGGGACGGGTGGAGGAAGGGAAGGAAGAAAGGAGAGAGGATGGGGAAAAAAGGAGAGGAGAGGGAGGAGGAAAGAGGAAAGATGTGCCCACGGCTGCTGGTTCACTAGCAGATGTCGCCGTGGCTCCTCTGCCCTCTTCCACTGAACCCTGCGCCGTGCCCCCTCCGCCTGCCCCCAGATGGCCTCCATCACCCTCCCGGGCCCCTCGGAGCTGCTCATCCTTCTCCAGTATTTCTGGAGAGGTGACCTCTGGTCAACTCCCAAACTCCCATCCAGATGGTACAGAAGCTCTCCGGCT